ATGTCAGTTTTCAGAATAGCGGTCAACCAATATGTGTTTTTTTTAAATGATGATCCTTATATTCATTTAGTCCTTCAAAACGAATGAAAAAGTTTTAAAACCAGTAGGCCTAATAAACCGTTCAAAAATGTTTGACATGAAACCAATTAAAATATGAATCAAAAATGTATTATTATAAGGGTATATGCGCATTGTGGTATTTGTTTCGTTTAAAATAATCATTTTTAACTTAAAATAAATCCTTTTAATGCTGTGTCAACCAGTGCATGCGCATTTGCACAATATATCTATGATCGTACTGTAAATAAATACATTTACTGAACATTTTGTGACACTGAATTGATCAATAAAGGGCTCATTCATTCATCTGTTTTACCCAATGACTTCCATTTGCACCTAGTTGGGTTTTGAATAAATTTATTAATTCATTGTTTTTTTAATTTAAAAAATATAACATCTTGTGAATCTGTAACGGTACATGTTATTATAAAATAGTTTTGACAAAGTCGTAGCATTGAATAGTCTCATTTAACTCAATAAATGAACAAATAACATCTGAAAATATAACACTAAGAATACATGCCATGCATAGAAGTATACAGTGATTTTGCTTTCACTCTGGCTATGGTGTGGTGCGGCATTTAGGTGGTTTGGAGGACCACTGGTTCATCCGTGTGGGTTTCAGTGAGACAGTTTTTCATGGGCTGACGAACCTGAGATTGACCAAAACTCAAGCATTCTCAGGTTGGACAGTCCTCGAAAGCACTACTCATCCAGGATGGTCAGATCACACTGACCACAGATTACTTGCATCATCTTAAAAAAAAAAATAGAAAGAAAGAAATGTAAAAAAGAGAAAAAAATCAGAGGGGAAAAAAACTAGCAAAATTTAGACCTACCAAAATCTTTTTTTTTTCAAAATTGTAATTTGTAAATTAAATTGTAGCAATTTCTATGATGAGAAGAAAATAATAGCACATTTTCTTTCTTTCTTGAATGCAGGAAAAGCATGGACATTTACAACAATATGAAAATATAGAATGATAAAAAAATAAAAAAATGGATGAAGAAACACCATGCTTGGAAAAGTTACTAAATATCTCCTACAATTTCCATTTGACCAATATGTAAAAATAAATCCAATCTGGAATACTGAAAACTATAATATTAGCATGATTTCCGCAATTTTCAGATTGTGATTATTACATGAATCACACGCTGACCAAATCTTGAGAAATCTTATAGAAATGTCCCCCATAAAAAGTACATAAAATATGGCCTACGAAAAAAAAATTTAAATGAAAGAAAATTAGTTACATTTAAATAAATAAATATACTCAGTAAACGATTTTACACATTTGACTCTAAATTTGGCTGCCCTTACAGTCCCTGTCATGCTGTACTGTATGCTATAGTATATCATGATATGCCAACTTTCGCGCCTTTCCAGTTGGAAAGGGCCACTGAAACCTTTACCTTACAGCATCCATAACATCTAAATAGCTACATACATAAAACTATGAATCATTCATTACTATGAAGCAAATCCAACGAGTTTAAGCCGATGCAATTATTATATTACAGCCACTTAGAGACAATCAGCTCAGCTGTGTCTGACTGTAATGGCCTCGTGGCTTTACAGAACAACACCGTCCCACGGCTTTAACCCTCCATATCTCTCAAAGATCTGTCTGTGTCAAAAAACCAATAAAACCTTGCTCCTGCCAGGATGATGTTCAAAATGTATTCACAGATGCATTGGTTGACCTTGTCAACAACTACAAACTTATCTGCACCAACATCATCTCAGATGCCAAAAAGTCCTGGATTTCTCGCTGTACGTTTAGTTTGGCATTCACTGTGGGCTGGTACACACAGCTATGCAAAACACTCACCTCTGCCTTACCTACACAGACGTTTATTGGCTCCTCGTCGCTCCACACTGACAGAGGACTTTGAGGCCTTCACTTGAGCCCGCAGAGAAGCCGGACCGTCGGGCTGATGCTCACACACTCGCTGCGAGCTGCTGGAGATGCTGGCGAGCTGCCACACATGAGCAAAGCGCCTCCTTCCTGTTTGTCGCTATGAACAAGCTTGTGGTAAACTTTCCATGACATCTCAATATTGAGGGCCACTAGAGAACGTTTCATTCATCTCAACCGCTCCTTTTTGAAATGCCTTATTTGTCCTGCTGATTGTTTTATGACAGAGGAAGAGAGAGATTATTGCTTTTCTGAAATTAAAATTGGGTTTGCAGTTAGTGGCTAAATATCAACTTTAGCCTCTGCTTGTTCATTTTAACCAGGCTGATTATAATGATGAGTCATATTAACCAAAAGCTGTATTAGTCACTTACGTTAATACATTAAAAAAGGCAAATGTTCTCAGTTTGTAGAACCAATGCTTCGCAGAAGCTCTTTTCTACATGAATTACATGTTGTGTGATGAACTAAAAGGTAAGGTGATCTTTTAGTGTAGAATACACTGAGAAGGGTAGTTATTATAGTGATGACTATCTTATATCAGAGTGGAGTTAATTATGGAAACTGATGAAAGATTGCTAGGTTAGTTTCCATATCGACAGGACAACCACAGCATCCTTCCTGTGTGTTTCAGACATGAATGAGTTTCAATCCCGCTGTCTCGGTTACAAAAAGCTTACAAAATAGAAGAGAAGTGCCATAAAACAGTCGAGCACATTCTTCTCTTCACATCTCTGGACGGATTTTGAATGGAAAATTCATTGATGTGAAATTCTCAGACATGGTATTTCATTTATGTCCTCAAAAAAAAAAAGCAAGGTATAGAAGATCAACTAGTTACAGCTGAAGAGAAACACTGTCCTACCATACAAAAGTCTGGGGTCGATGAGTTTTTGAAAGCTGCATTTATTTGATCAAAAATACAGTAAAAATATTGTAATATTGTGAGATATTATAATTTAAACAGTTTCCATTTGAATATATTTTCAAATGTAATTTATTCCTGTGATGCAAAGCTACATTTTTGGCATCATTACTCCAGTCTTCAGTGTCACATGATCCTTCAGAAATATATCCTTCTAATATATTTAATGTATTTGGTGCATTTTATTCAATGCTGAAAACAGTTGTGCTGCTTACACAATTTTTTTCAGGATTATTTGATCGAGTTTATGCTTCCTTTCTCAACCAAAGTACCAATTTCTTTAAACAAATAAAAAAAAATAATAAATCTCACTGACCCCCAAATTTTTGACCAGTACTGCTGATGCTCACACACTCGCTGCGAGCTGCTGGAGATGCTGGCGAGCTGCCACACATGAGCAAAGCGCCTCCTTCCTGTTTGTCGCTATGAACAAGCTTGTGGTAAACTTTCCATGACATCTCAATATTGAGGGCCACTAGAGAACGTTTCATTCATCTCAACCGCTCCTTTTTGAAATGCCTTATTTGTCCTGCTGATTGTTTTATGACAGAGGAAGAGAGAGATTATAGCTTTCCTGAAATTAAAATTTGGTTTGCAGTTAGTGGCTAAATATCAACTTTAGCCTCTGCTTGTTCATTTTAACCAGGCTGATTATAATGATGAGTCATATTAACCAAAAGCTGTATTAGTCACTTACGTTAATACATTAAAAAAGGCAAATGTTCTCAGTTTGTAGAACCAATGCTTCGCAGAAGCTCTTTTCTACATGAATTACATGTTGTGTGATGAACTAAAAGGTAAGGTGATCTTTTAGTGTAGAATACACTGAGAAGGGTAGTTATTATAGTGATGACTATCTTATATCAGAGTGGAGTTAATTATGGAAACTGATGAAAGATTGCTAGGTTAGTTTCCATATCGACAGGACAACCACAGCATCCTTCCTGTGTGTTTCAGACATGAATGAGTTTCAATCCCGCTGTCTCGGTTACAAAAAGCTTACAAAATAGAAGAGAAGTGCCATAAAACAGTCGAGCACATTCTTCTCTTCACATCTCTGGACGGATTTTGAATGGAAAATTCATTGATGTGAAATTCTCAGACATGGTATTTCATTTATGTCCTCAAAAAAAAAAAGCAAGGTATAGAAGATCAACTAGTTACAGCTGAAGAGAAACACTGTCCTACCATACAAAAGTCTGGGGTCGATGAGTTTTTGAAAGCTGCATTTATTTGATCAAAAATACAGTAAAAATATTGTAATATTGTGAGATATTATAATTTAAACAGTTTCCATTTGAATATATTTTCAAATGTAATTTATTCCTGTGATGCAAAGCTACATTTTTGGCATCATTACTCCAGTCTTCAGTGTCACATGATCCTTCAGAAATATATCCTTCTAATATATTTAATGTATTTGGTGCATTTTATTCAATGCTGAAAACAGTTGTGCTGCTTACACAATTTTTTTCAGGATTATTTGATCGAGTTTATGCTTCCTTTCTCAACCAAAGTACCAATTTCTTTAAACAAATAAAAAAAAATAATAAATCTCACTGACCCCCAAATTTTTGACCAGTACTGTGTGTACGGTATGTGTAGTTTTTTATATACACACATCCGTTCATATGTAATCCAAACAGTGTGATTAGGATCATTACATGAAGCACATCACAATTATTACACTGCTATTTATCAAATATATCAATTCAATGAGCATGAAACGCTGACTTGAGTTTAAATGAATTTATTATGCAAGGTGTGGAAATGAGTCACTGTCATGTAGAACATACCAATTATACAGTGTAGCAGTTATTACACCAAAATATCAGACTGACCAATCAGAATCAAGTATTCCAGAATGTGTGCAATGACAATGCAATAAAATAAATAGCTAAATAAATCCTAGACTATTATTCCTGTTGAAGGACAAAAGTCACAGTAGATACATTCACCAGGCCTTGACATGATCGCTGCAGATCTCAGTGCTCCCATATTAATATAATATTGTTCGCATTTTCTATCAAACATTAAAAAGAAGACAACTTATTTTGTATATTGCAGTACAGGATTTTTTTTGTTTTGTTTTTGGGTTAACTATTGTGGGTCAGCATAAATCAAACAAATAAAACGCACACAATCACATCATATTTAGGCTAGGTACTTTCTCAAAGTGCTCAGTGGGGTAAAAACGATAAAACAGAGATATCAACGCGACATCCATAATAAGAGCGAGCACAACGCTCATTGGCTTGAATATGAGGCCAAACACCAACACTTCCTGTGGGCTAGTATTGTTCTTGTGCGTCCTGTATGTCCTCGACGCGACGGCGAACATCAAGCAGATGTCAGCCATATATGGTAAAGGCAGCTATAGACTCGCTGGACAGATGCAAGATGCTGCACTTTTGTGGGTCCAAAAAAAAAAAACCGTAGGTTATTCTCATTGCAGAATGTGAAATTCTTCCTAAAAACGAATGATGATCTACAATACAGATCCTATCAACATTTAACAGGAGCTGCTCCTTCATGTTTATGTTTGATAAATAGATAGCGAAACCCTTAAATTGAGCTAGACATCTTAAACTGTCAAAGCTTTTGCAGAAACTTGTAAAAAACGGTTCAAGTTGTACAGAATGCAGTGCTCCGATGTGAAAGTGTAATTGTTAACAGCGTGTGGTTTGGTCAGCAGCCATCTGCAGGTAAAGCGAGAGAGAAAGCAAAGATTAAAACGAAGCAACGCCCACACATTTTTTCCGATGAAGTGGTCCTTCAAAGAAATTCACTGTCTAAGTGTAGCAAGGCAGCGCTTTGAGTCTTACTTTACTCTCTGAAAGCTTGACTGCTGCATGAAACGGAGTACAATAATAAAAATGACACGCTGTCTGCCATACACGTGCCAAAAATACTAAAGCGGCAGCAAACACGTAAGGCAATAAATCAACTGCATGTGCTTCAAAATCAAACATTACACACTTTAGACGACAGTAAATATTAAATAACTCACATAAAAAAAACAACATCTAAATAAACCTTCATAAATAAAACCTTCACATAAAACGTTTCTGTTTAGGGAGTGCCAAAAAGTATAAAAATATTTTATAATGTACAAATATCCGGCGTGACTGAGCTGCTGAGATGATCTGACACCCGTCAGCAGCTGGGCTCATCCATGTCATCGTCGCTCCAGTCTGGAGGCGCATCCGTGCCAAAATATCGATCCCCAAAATTTCCTGGACCCAAAATAAATCATGAAAATGTAAGCACATTTTCTCAAAATTATCATTACTGTAATGTGTCTGGATTTTTTTTATTTTTATAAAACCGTACAAATGGTATTTTCATTTCCTCAACTGATCTTACTCACCCCAAACATTTAAACGGCGTGTGTGTGTGTGTGTATATATATATATATATATATATAGAGAGAGAGAGAGAGAGAGAGAGAGAGAGAGAGAGAGAGAGAGAGAGTATGTACACACACACCCACATAATACAATTAACCCTTTTACAATATTAACGATATTTAAAATAGAATATTCTAGTTGAGTCCCCTGTGTGAGTTTTTCCGAGTTTGTCACATGACACAATATGTATCTGACCGATGTACTGATTTAATTTAAGTTTTTTCTTTTCATTCAAAATATTCACAAACTGGAAAATAGTAATACAGATTTTAATGCCATGTCAGCATCTGAGGCTATTTTTTACAATATCAATGAAAAGCAAATAGGCCGAAAGTAAAATTACACAAGATGTTTTACATTTACATATGATAAAAATATTCAAAATATTCACAAACTGGAAAATAGTAATACAGATTTTAATGCCATGTCAGCATCTGAGGCTATTTTTTTACAATATCAATGAAAAGCAAATAGGCCGAAAGTAAAATTACACAAGATGTTTTACATTTACATATGATAAAAATCAAGTATGTGCGTATTTAAATGGTTGAAACCTAAAATTAACATCACGTGGTTGAAAATACTGAAAGGTTGTGATATATGACAAGCGGTGAGCTAGTCTCTGGTTCAGCGCAACTCAAAGCGGGAAAGTAGATTTGAATTTAGCATCTAATCATGTGACGCACTCAATGTTCTAATCACACACATTATCCACATCAAAGGGTTAATATATAAAGAAATAACGGTGAAACAAAAATCACACATCATCGCAAAAACCTTAAAGGGGTCATCGGATGCAAAATTCACTTTACAAGTTGTTTGAACATAAATGTGTGTTGGAAGTGTGTGTACACATCCATCCTATAATGATAAAAATCCACCCAGTGGTTTTTTTAAAAATCCCTATTTAAAAATCCTCTTTCTCAAATCAGGCTGTTCTGAGATTCCTGTCACAATGACGTAGTTCTGCACAGGTCGCTCCCACGATAGTTGATTGACACTAGCATCTTACCTTAAGACCCGCCCCGAGTGAGCTGTGAGCTGTCCGCCATTGTGTCGACTCAGGTGCCGGGGAAGACAAGAATGTCTCAGATTAAGCGATTGAGGTGTTTTTTTGTTGGATGTAATAATGAATATAGCAGTCGTCATTTACTCCTGACATCTCAGCCGCTGAAGACGCAGAGGATTAACATTACTTTCGTTTTTGAAGGGAATGCGCCGATCCCGATCTGCCTAAATGCGTCTATGTTCATGCGAATCATTCGTGATCCAGCTTCATCTACAGAAGAAGTGAGTATAAGGGTTTTTTTATGAATCTTTGCAAATAGCCTTTCCTAATAATGTGCTAGTTAGCCAGTTTGGCGGCTGAAGTTTACAGTCTGCTCGTCACCCCACGGAAGAGAGGGGCGGGGTCAGCAGAGCTCATTAGCGTTTAAAGCGACATGGACTAAAAAACAGCTTGCTGAAAACAGAGCTGTTTTTGACAGGGTAAAAATTGTGTTTTTTACACGGGGAAGACAAGAATGTCTCAGATTAAGCGATTGAGGTGTTTTTTTGTTGGATGTAATAATGAATATAGCAGTCGTCATTTACTCCTGACATCTCAGCCGCTGAAGACGCAGAGGATTAACATTACTTTCGTTTTTGAAGGGAATGCGCCGATCCCGATCTGCCTAAATGCGTCTATGTTCATGCGAATCATTCGTGATCCAGCTTCATCTACAGAAGAAGTGAGTATAAGGGTTTTTTTATGAATCTTTGCAAATAGCCTTTCCTAATAATGTGCTAGTTAGCCAGTTTGGCGGCTGAAGTTTACAGTCTGCTCGTCACCCCACGGAAGAGAGGGGCGGGGTCAGCAGAGCTCATTAGCGTTTAAAGCGACATGGACTAAAAAACAGCTTGCTGAAAACAGAGCTGTTTTTGACAGGGTAAAAATTGTGTTTTTTACATTACCACTGAGAAATTTTAACCAAAGTATGTTATAGACTTTTCATCAAGACCCTAAAGAATCATATCAACTTGTGGAAAATGGGCATCCGATGACCCCTTTAATGGTCCTAAAGGTACTGTAAAAAGTCTTCACTTTCCATTAAGCAAAGTATAATTTATTCGTTTTTTTATGATTTGGGGTGAAATATGAGCCAGACATGCTCAAGGCTGGTTTTGTGAGAATGGCCCGTTTGTGTAGAACTTTTAGGACAAGAAGCCACAGTTAAGCAGATAAGTAATGCTGAGAAAGTTTCACCTATGCCGGGGATGATGTGGAACAGGTCGTTGACCTTCTTGTCGACGGCGGTAGTGATGATTTTGACCTGAGGAAAGGCGTAGGCCACAGAATGGACACCCATCTCAGCCATCAGCAAAGACACCAGCAGGATTTTATCCTCCTGAACGTCATGATCCTACACACACACACACACACACACACACACACACACACACACA